GGGCAGTATCCAGGCAGCAGCACCACGACTGTCGTGGGCATCTGAATTTGCTCGGCAAACAGGAGGAAGCTGGTGTGGCACTGGGCTGAAGGGCGGTGGAGCACCTGGGACACTCTTAGCCTCGGCGAGGGTATGGAGGGTGCAGTCAGCTAGAAGTTAGGGGGCCCTTGGCTTCAGGGGCATTGCAGTGGTCCTGCAGAAGGCATTGCTGTGGGCAGGGAGCTAGGTGGGTCGGGCCAGTTTGGGATGAGATGTGGTGTGTACGGTGGGGCCGTGCTGACTGCCGCCCCTGCTGTCAGGGCGCCATGTTCTGGAAGTTTGACCTGCACACGAGCTCGCACATGGACACACTGCTGGAACGGGAGGACCTGAGCCTGCCCGAGCTGCTGGATGAGGAGGACGTGCTGCAGGAGTGCAAGGTGGTCAACCGCAAGCTGCTGGACTTCCTGCTGCAGCCGCCCCACCTACAGGCCATGGTGGCCTGGGTCACCCAGGAGCCGCCGCCCAGTGGCGATGAGCGCCTGCGCTATAAGTGAGCCTCTTTCGGGGTTAGGGTGAGGGGCTGCTGGCCTGCTGGCCCAGGGGGCCAGGGAGGAGTGAGGGTGCTGATAAGAGAGAGCAGCCCCTCACCCCTGCCCCACCCTCCTGGGGCCACTGCAGCCCTGAGCCGGTGCCCTCCCCAGGTACCCGAGCGTGGCCTGCGAGATCCTGACCTCAGACGTGCCCCAGATCAACGAGGCGCTGGGCGCTGACGAGGCCCTCCTGAGCCGGCTCTATGGCTTCCTGCAGAGCAATGGCAGCCTCAACCCACTGCTGGCCAGCTTCTTCAGCAAGGTCATGGGCATCCTCATTAACCGCAAGACCGACCAGGTGCAGGCTCTCCCCCTACCCCCCATTCCCCAGGGCCCGGGGAGGCCTAGGCCACCGTGACCTGTGCCCTGTCCTCAGCTCCTGTCCTTCCTGCGCAAGAAGGACGACTTCGTGGACCTGCTGCTGCAGCATATGGGCACCTCGGCCATCATGGACCTGCTGCTGCGCCTGCTCACCTGTGTGGAACGGCCCCAATTGCGACATGACGTTGTCAACGTGAGCTGCCCCAACCTGCCCCTCCTGGACCCATTGTCCCCACCCTACCCCCAGGCTCAGCTGGGCAATTAATCCCCACCTCTCACTCCCAGTGGCTCAACGAAGAGAAGATTGTCCAGCGGCTAATCGAGCTGATCCACCCTTCCAAAGATGACAATGTGAGTGCTATCCTCCAGCCCGCCTGCCTTGCTTAGAAGCCCATGGGCTGGGCTTCCTCAGCACCAGGGGAGAGAGGATACCTTGATACAAGAATGTCTGCAGGGGTAGGGGTCTCCCACCCACCCCTTCTGGGCCTGGAGGCCGCCTGGCCTGCAGCATCCTTGCCTGGTGCTGCCCCGGAAGCCCTCTCATGGCTGGGGCTGACCTGTCCCATCCCTGCCACTCAGTGAAGCCCCTGCGAGCCCTTCCCAATGGCCCATCTACCCTCCCAGCTCGAGATGGTCCCCGTGCACCCATGAGGGCCCAGGCTCCCCGGGGAGAGGCAGCTGGTCACTCACCCTTGCCTCCCTTCCCTCCCCGCCCGCTCCCCCAGCAACATTCCAATGCTTCCCAGTCCCTGTGCGACATCATCCGTCTGAGCCGGGAGCAAATGACCCAGGGGCAGGACAGCCCAGAGCCTGACCCGCTGCTGGGCACGCTGGAGAAGTATGGCTTCCAGGTGGGGGGCAAGGCGGTGCCGGGGGCAGGGCCTGAGGGACAGGGGTTGAGCAGGTGACTGCATCCCCCCAGGCAGGAGACGATTGAGCAGCTCCTGAGCAACATGTTCGAAGGGGAGCAGAGCCAGTCTGTCGTCATCAACGGGATCCAGGTGCTGCTGACGCTACTAGAGCCCCGGAGGCCTCGGTGAGTGAGGCTGGCCTGCCCGTCTGCTGTGTTCCCATCACAGGCTGCCCGGCCCAGACGAGAAAATAGACCGGACTCTGTCCTTCTGCTGTGGTGACATCCTGTAGAGCCTAGGCCCCTGGCCAGCCGGGCACCCCTCACTTGTGCCCCTGCAGCCCCAGTCCCTCCAGGCACAGCTCAGGCAAGTCTCCCTCTGGTCCGCTGCAGGTCCGAGACCACGACCATGAACAACTTCTTCTGCAGCGTGGATGGACAGCTGGAGCTGCTGGCCCACGGCGCCCTGGACAACCCTGCAGCCAGCATTGGTGTCCTGCATGCCCTGCGGCCCAGGCTCAGTCACTTCCACCAGCTGCTGCTTGAGTCCCCCAAGGTGGGCCAGGCGCTGGGAGGGGTGTGGCTGGAAGGGGGTCCTGGGTGGGCTGGAACTGAGTCTCTTGTCCCCCTGCAGCTAGAGGCACTGCAGATGACCTGGGGGAGCCTGGACCCCCCACTGGGAAACATGCGGCTGCACGTGGTCAAGCTCCTGGCCAGCGCCCTGAGCGCCAACGACTCTGCACTGATGCAGGAGCTGCTGGCGCTGGACGTGCCCAACACCATGCTGGTGCGGGGATGGGGACAAGGACTCGTGCTGGCGGGAGTGGGGTTGGGGTAGGGGAAATGGGGACTTGTGTTGGTGGGGGTGGGGCATGGGCATTGGTGCAAGGCTGGGGCCTGGACACCATCTTCGGGGAGGGCCACCTCTGGGTACCAGCCCATACTGCTTCCTTATCCCCAGGATCTGTTCTTCCACTATGTCTTCAACAACTTCCTGCATGCCCAAGTGGAGATGTGTGTGAGCGCCATGCTGAGTGCGGGGTACCCGCTCGAGAGCTGCCCTGAGAGCTCCGCACCCAACCCTGTCATCCAGCACGTGAGCCTAGGGGAGGGAGCGCCGCCACCAGTTTCTCCAGGAGGCCTGTGAGGGGTCCCACTGTAGTTGGGGGACAGATAGGGGCTGAGCAGGGTGGTGGGCTTGAAGAGGAAGCCTAGAAGGAGGGTTGGCAGGGGAGCCTCTGAGAGGGTCCCAGGAGGAGGCGAGGGCCAAGGGGCCGTGTAAATGGGAGCCTGTGATGGAGAGAAGCGTGAGACTGACGGCCTCTCACAGGCAGCACAGGTTGGGGTTGGCTCCCCCCGAGCCTACCCTTTCCTCCCTGAGACAACCTCCTGCCCCCCCCCCCCCCAAGCTGGTGCAGCAGTGCCGCCTGGTGACGCGCATCCTGACATCGTGGGAGGAGAACGACCGCGTGCAGTGAGTGTGTGTGTGAGAGTGAGAGACAGACAGGTGGTGGGGGCGGGGGCCAGTGGGGATGTGAGAGACACATCAATTGTGGGGGGCCGGGGCAGAGGCTGTACAGGGACCTGTTCCCAGTGCCCAGCCCTGTCCCTGCCCACCCAGGTCTGAAGGAGGCCCGAGGAAAGGCTACATGGGCCACCTGACCCGCATGGCCAATGCCTTGGTGCAGAATGCGGAGAAGGGACCTAATGCCGAGCAGCTGGGCCAGCTGCTAAAGGGTGAGGGACCTGTGGGGACATGGAGGGCCCTGGGGCACCTCGACACCCGGGAGCTGCTGGGAGGAGCCCTGTCCCCTCACGGCCTCATCCTTCCCAGCAGAACTGCCGGAGGAGCAGCAGGAGCGGTGGGAGGCCTTCGTGACAGGGCCACTGGCCGAGACCAACAAGAAGAACATGATAGACCTGGTGCGTCCATCCAGTGGGCCCTGGGCGGGAGCGTGCAGGACCCTTGCTGCTGCTGTGTCCCTGCTCCCCCGGACCCTGGCCTGGGCTGGCTCTGATGCACTGCCCGCCTGGCCGCCCACAGGTGAGCACTCGGCCACTGCACTCGTCCAGTGACGACGAGGACGACCGGCTCAAGGACCTCAGCTTCCCCGAGGAGGCCGTGCTGCAGCAGGTGGGCTCTGTGCTGTGCTGTGCTGCGCGTTGAGTTGCATCCTGGGCCCTGAGCCACCGCAGCCCCTGACCCAGTGTCCCCACAGGCCTTCATGGACTTCCAGATGCAGCGCATGACCGCAGCCTTCATTGACCACTTTGGCTTCCATGACGAGGAGTTCGGGGAGCAGGAGGAGAGCGTCAAGTGAGTGTGTAGTCCCCTGCACCAGGACAGCCGGCTTCCCTAATGGCCAGAGAGTCTGAGTCAGAGGGGACGCAGAGCTGCGGCTTAGGTCCTGGCGCTGGAGGACTAAGCTCTGTAGCTGTGACTGAGTGCACCTCACCTCACTCTGCACCCCACAGCCGTTTAAAACCCAGCTCCAGCTTGCTGTATAGGGACACAGCCTTGGCCGGAGACAGTGCCCCTTTGAGATCTTCCCTGTGGGACCACACTGGTGACCCTGGTGGGTGGGAACAGGTGTCACACCCAGGCTGTCCTTTATGTCACTGAGCTACACCGACAAACATGAGAAAGCGTGTAAATTCCCAGCAGTGACAAAGTAGAAGACACCTCCTCCTATCCCCCCCACATACACACACACACAGCATCGGGTGAGAAGGCTCCTCCTGGGCCTCCTTGCTGATCTCTAGTGGCATGACCATCCTTGGGGAGCTGGGGGAGCAGGCCTGCCTGTGGGCTCGTGCCTGCCCACTCCTGATGTCCCACCTGTTTTGCCCCAGTGCTCCCTTTGACAAGACCGCCAACATCACCTTCTCCCTCAACGCTGACGACGAGAACGTGAGTGCGGCCCGGTCCCTTCCCCGTCCCCATCCCCTTCCTTGCTGGGCAGCGAGGGTACAGGCCTGGCCCCTGGTGGGGTCAGTGTTGCCCACCTTGTCTGCCTTCCCCTCAGCCCAACTCCCACCTGCTGGAGATGTGCTACAAGGAGCGCATCCAGCAGTTTGACGACGAGGAGGAGGTGGACGATGAGGAAGGCCTGGGTTCTGGGGAGTCAGATGGCGAGGACAGCGCCTGGCGGGGCAGCCAGCTGCCCAGGGGGGCCCGCCTTGGTCAGCACCAGAGTGTCCGGTGAGCTGACCGTAGCCTCGTTTGACCATCCCTGCTTCTGACGAGCTGCACACATTGCTGCCTCCTCCTGAGAAAGCAGTCGCTGCGCTTGCAGAGCCTCACAGTCTGGGGAGCTGAGACTGCTGGCAGCAACGGCTGGAGGGGGTGGCCGGGCAGGGGGGCGTGCTCCATGGAGTCTTTGCAACCCCCTCATGCCTAGGTCTGTCAGGGGGGCTGGTGACTACCCAGAGGTCCTTGAGGACAAGGTCTGGCTGCCATCTTAGCACAGCGCGCCCACTGGGAACCCCAGGTAGCTCAGCCCTGTGACCCACTAGGAGGTGCTAGGGTCCGAGCAGAGCTCAGGGCAGCAGGTTTTTGTCACTGGGATTCCCCGTACAGAGGATGTAGCCAAGGGGGTTTCAGGGGTGAAGCCACCCCAGTGGGGTCTGAGCATCCACTTGCTTCCACTGCCTAACACCCTGCCCCCACCTGGCGGTGCCCAGGGGGCTCACTGGGTTCCCTCACCACAGAGTGTGGGATGCTCCAGCAAGTCTCTGGTCACTGCCCGAGACTGGGCCTGGACTTGTTCCCCGTCAGGCAAACAGGTGGTGGCGGCCCACAATGTAGGTGGCCTTTGGAGCACAGGGTCTGGAGGCTTGGGCAGGCGTGGCGCTGTGAGGGGGACTGTGCTAGCCCACAATTCCTGTGCCCTTGGCACCCATCCCCCCTAGTAACCCTAGCATGGCCCAGGAGGGAGCCTAGGCTTCTGGGAAGGGGCAGGTGTTTCCATAACCTGAGGCACAGTGCTAACTGCTGGGTCTGCGCTTTGAGCCTCCCAGTCACTCCCCGGGGAGGAAGATAAGGCTGTCGACTCCATAAAGACCAAGGCTCAGAAACCCTCTGAGATCCTGTGGGGTGGAATAGACCAGATGGCAGCCAGTCTGTCCAGTCCCCACAGCCGCGGGTCGATACTGAGCCCAGCCTGGAAGCCTCCCAGGAGCACCCAGAACAGTCCTGGGCACACATGCAGCCCCAGCTGGTCTGAGCCCCGTCTTGCCCAGTGGGGGTGTTGGGTGCCACTGTGGAGGCGCAGGCAGACAGGGCCTGCGGAGCAGCTGGGGGTCAACACTGGGGTCAGCGTTGCCGAGGGGGCAGGCGGAAGCGCACCAGACACTGCTGCTCTTAGCTCAGCATCCCTGCCGCACTTAGGTGTAGCTTTACCTGCCCAGGGAGAGTGGTTCCAGGTAGACCTATACACACATCCTGCTTTGGGGCCCGCAGGCAGGCCAGACAGCCCCAGGGTTTCTCCACCGTAGCAGGGAGCTACCCTGCCACCAGGCTCCAAACGTAACGTAACACAAGCCATCCCCACACACAGTTGTGACCCCGTGCCACCAGGTGGCCACATGCTGTGTCCATCCCTGGCCACTTGCTGCCAGGGCCAGTGCCCTAATAACAGCGGCCTACGGGCTTCTCGGGCAGGAGTGGAGGTAGCACGGACAGTGAGGAGGACGACGAGGATGAAGATGAGGATGAGGATGGTGAGGCCCACGTAGCCAGGGGAAGGGCTAATTCCCCCTCCTACCCAAGCCCCGGTCTCGAGCCCATGGCAGCAGCTCCTCAGGGTAAGTGGAGTCGGTGAGGGTGGATGGGGCGCAGTGCCCCCTCAGTGCTCAGCCCCCCTCAATGTCCCCCTCCCAGGTCCTGGCTGGACAGCCACCTTTGATGCAGTGCCTGCTAAAGAGCCCCGAGTCTCGGAGCCCACAGTCCCCCAGGGGCCTCAAGATGGCCCTCAGGATCTCCCCACCCCAAGCCTGGCCGCCCATCCAGCCAGTGAATCCCTGCAGGTTAGGTGAGGAATCCAGGGCCAGGTGGGAGTGTGGGGGCAGAGCACTGGGGGGCACTACTGGCTGC